ATAATTTTTTTTTAAAAATGTCTGACCGTATGGCCTCAGAATGTTTTAAGTCCAAATGGCCCTTGACAGTAAAGAGTGGTTCCTCATCCTTTCTCTAAATTGACTAAATTATTCTTGATACAAGGTTCATAAAAATTTATTTTCATACTTGAAAAATAATTGTTTACCTCCACATTATTTGACAGGAGAACTTTATTTTTAAAAGGTACAACTTCTCCCTCTAAAGATTTCATTGCAATTATATGTTTTGATTCCTCATCAAAGCAGACACTGCTAATACCTGCAATATAGAAATAATAATTTAAATAGAATGGAATTAAAAATACAATTAACATACTATATATTACTTAATAAATAATGATAACATATATCACATCACATATACAGTGTCCCTAGTATTTCAATGTTGTCTTCAGGAAAATGTTAACTTTTTGATGGATAATCTTCTCATTGATTTAAAATATTTTATGCAGATACCTAGTAACATGACAAATTCACGGAGGATTGTAACTTACTCACATATTTTTCTTTATTCATTCATTTTCACCATTTTCCACAAAGAATTTCTGAGAATAAACTTCACTAATGAGTACCAATCAGTAAGAATTGTCTTCTCATAAAATGTTACCTCTTTTAAAATGATTCGGTTATTTCTTATAAAGTTTAGCATAAAATTGCCAATATGACCCAGCAATTCCACTGTTAGATATACACCACAAAGAATTTTGAGGCACTCAGACGAAGAGCCAAGAACAACAAAAAATAAAACACTATTGCCTTCCAGTCAATTCCAATTCAGTAACCCTACTGCTCAGAGAAGAACTGCCCCATGGCTTTTCCAAGGCTACACGAGCATATCTTTACAGAAGCAGACGGTTACATCTTCCTCCCTCACAGTAGCTGATGGGCTCAAAATACTGAATTTTCCTTTAGAAGCCAAGCAGGTAACAACTACGTCATCAGAGCTCAAGCAAACACATACATTAATACTCCTAAAAATGTTATTCCTAGTAACAAAAAACTGAAAACAATCCAAAAGACCATTAACAACAAACAAACAAGCAGTAGCATATTCAAGCAATAGGAAGGAATAAAATACAGCTCTAAGTTACTTCAAAAATATTGTTCTCATCTACAGAAGCCAACATTTGAATACATATTAATATGCACTTACATGAAGTTTTAAAAAAGGCAAAAACTACTCTAATGTGATATTAATGAGATCCGTGCAGGGCAGAGCTGGGAGGAGTAGAGGATAGCTGCAAAGAGACAGACGGGACATTTGGGGCTGATGGCAATGTACACGACTTGAGTGAAGTGCTAGTTCCATGTACATCAAACCAGATACTTAAAATGTGGTGACTTTTACCGTATTTATCTTATATAAATAGTTCCTTTAAAATAGTAAGAAATGTCTTACGTTTGGTAGTAGAAATAGTTATCGTTACAGGTATCTTTTAGGTATAAGACAAAAAGAGGAACAGAGAGAGCAGAAAAGATTCCCTGGTCCTAACATTTACATGTCCTTTAGTTGGAGGTGGCGGGTGCCACGGAGTCAATTCTGGTAGCACAACAGACAGAGATGCCTGGGCCGCACCATTCTCACAATTGTTCCTGGGCTTCAGCACACGGCTGCAGCCACTGTGCAAGAAGATATGAACATCTTCTTAAGGACAGGAATTTCTCTCCTTCGCTGGCCCTCTACTTTACCAAATATGATGTCCTTCCCCAGAGACTGGCCTCTCCTGACAATATGTCCAGAATCATCCTTGCCTTCAAGATGATCCCTCGCCTTACTTCTTCCAAGGCAGATTTGTTTGTTCTGTTTTGTTTGTTCACCTGCACTACAATTCAAATGCATCAATTCTTCTTCAATCTTCCTTATTCAATGTCCAACTTTCACATGCATATGAGGCAACTAGAAGCACTATGGTTTGGGTCAGGTGCAACTTAATTTCCAAGTAACATCCTTCCTTTTCAATATTCTAAAGGGGTTTTGTGCAGCAGATTTATCTAATGCAAACATCTTTTGATATCTTCCCTGCTGCTTCCATGAACATTGATTGTAGATCCCAGGAAGACAACTTCAACCCTTTGTCCATTTATCATAATGTTACCTATTGGCCCAGTTGTGAGGATTCTGGTCTTCTTTACATTAAGTTGTCATCCATACTGAAGGCTGCAATCCTTGATTTTCACCAAGTACTTCGAGTCTTCTTGCTTTCAGTAAGCAAGATTGTGACATAGCTCAAGTTTTTAATAAGCCTTCCTCCATTCCATTCTTCATCATATTCTCCAGCTTCTCTGATGATCTGCTCAGCAGATAAATTGAAAAGGAACAGTGAGAGGGCACAACCCTGACACACACCTTTCTGAATTTTAAATCACGTATTATTCTGCTCTTTTGTTCACACAACTGGCTCTTGATCCATGGACAGGTTCTGTTTGAGCACAATGAAGTGTTCTGGAATTCCCATTCTTCTCAACATTATCCATCATCTTTGTGATCCACACAGTTGAATGCTGTAGCATAGTCAATAAAACACAAGTAAACATCTTACTGCTGTTCTGTGTTTTCAGCCAAGATCAAGCTAACATTAGCAATGATATCTCTTGTTCCATGTCCTTTTCTGAATCTCCCGAGCCCCTGGTAGCTCCTTATCAATGTAATGCTGCAACAGTTGTTGCATGATCTTAAGCAAAATTTACTTGCATGTGGTATCAAAGATACTGTTCTATAAGTTGAGCGTTCTGTTGGGCCACGTTTTTCTGGAATGGGTATAAATATGGATCTCTTCCAGTCAAGTAGCTGTCTCCCAAATTTCCTGGCATAGACAAGTGAATACTTCCAAGGCTTCATCTGCTTGTTGAAACATTTCAATTGGTATTCCATTAATTCCTGGAGACTTATTTTTGGCTAATTCATTCAGTGCAGCTTGAACTTCTCTCAGCAACATTGGTTCTTGCTCATATGCTACCTCCTGAAATGGAATGTCAACTAGTTATTTTTGTTACAGTGGCTTTGCCTATTCTCTCCATCTTCTTTTGATGCTTCCTGCATCATTCAATATTTTGCCCATAGAACCTTTCAAGATTGTAATGTGAGAATTGAATCTTTCTTGAGCTCTTTTAGTTTCTTCTTTTGGTTTTCTCTCATTCTTTGTACATTTCATTATAGTTGACTTTTGTCTTCTCAAGCTACCCTTTGAAATGTTCTCTCCAGCTCTTTGGCTTCATCATTTCTTCCATTGGCTTTAGTTACTCTACAATTAAAAGCAAAGATCAGAGTCTCTTCTGACATGCCCTTTGATCTGTTCTTCCTTTCCTGTCTTTTTAACGACCTTTCGCTTTCTCCATGAATGATGGTCTTGAGGTACTCCCACAGCTCCTCAGGTCTTCTGCCGTCAGTGGTCAATGCATCAAATCTGCTCCTGAGAAGTTATTAAATTTTGATGGGACAGACTCAGGTCGTATTTTGGCTCTCATGAATTTGTTGTAAGTTTTTCAGCTTCCACTTAAACTGACATATGAGCAATTGATGGTCTGTTCCACAATCAGTCCCTAGCCTGGTTTGAGCTGCTGATAATCGAGCTCCCCAGTACCTCTCCCCACAAATGTAGTCAATTTAATATATGTGTATTCCATCTGGGAAGTCCATATGAAAAAGGTATTTGCTATAAACAAGTCATTAGTTTAGCAAAATTTTATCATGTGATCTCCAGCTTCATTTCAATCAAGTCCATATTTTCCAATTACTGTTCCTTTTTGTTTCCGACTTTTGCATTTCAATTGCCAATTATCAATGCATCTTGATTACATGTTTGATCAATTTCTAACTGAAGTCATTGGTAGAATTCTTAAGTTTCTTCATCACTATCTTTTGTGGTTGGTGCATAAATTTGAAGAATAGTTGTATTGTTTAGATTTACCTGAAAGTGGATAGATACAATCATATCACAGAAAGCACTATACTTCAGGATTGATGTTGTATTGTCCTTTCTGACAATGAATGTCATGCTATTCTTCTTGATTGTGTTATGCTGGCGTAGTAAATCAGATGATTTTCTGATTCAAAATGCCCATTACCAGTCCACTTCAGCTACCTAATGCCTAGGATAATGCTCTTTATGGGGTTCCATTTCATTTTTGATGACTTCCAATTTTCCTAGATTCATACTTCACCCATTCCAAGTTCTGATCAGTAGCAGATTTTTGCAACTTTTTCTCCCTCCCTGAGTAGTGTCCCAACAGCAAATGACGATCCCGAAGCCTTTACTCCCACAGACTCAACTCCATTCACGTCACCTTGTTGACTGCCCTCCTAGAAATGAGCTCCTTCTCATACACATTTCAACGCTCTCCAACACTGTCTCTGACAATATTCTTCTTCCATTCATTAGGCCTTCAGTATTTGATAATGTTTCAAAGGTGTTATACAAAAGGTGTTCAGCAGCCCCTTCCTCTGAAAGAGGGAGTCGAGGCCTTCGTGTCTGTTCTTAAGTCTAGAAGCTCTGCTGAAACCTGTTCACTTTGGGTGACCCTGCTACCATTTGAAATACCCGTGACATCACTTCCTGCATCAGAGCAACACACAAGACACCACAATACCACAAACTGACAGATATGTCATTTTGTAATATATAAAAACTTGAACATATTACCTTACTCAAAATATAGACTTATAGGAAACCCCAGGAAGTAATTATTGCTAACTTAAGGGAAATTTGGTTTCAGACAGGTAGATTAAAAACCAACTAATAGATAGTGGAGACAGGCCTTGAATGTAAGCCCTCTAATTCCAAGAGCTTTTTCAGTAGCCACCAGTCCAAATAACAGCTTCCGATGTTAGTACCCCAAGATGTCAAATAAAGAGGTTGGAAATGTTTTTGTAAAGGACCAGAGATTATAGCCCTATAAGTCAGACATCCTATGTGGTAACTACTTGACTTTGTGCTTATACCACAAAAACAGCTATGGACAATACATGAGTGTGTCCCAAAATCACTTTAAAAAGGAATGAGCCACATTTGCTCAGCCCTGATTTGAAATGAAAATGATAAAATTATTTTCCCACCTTCAAGTTCACTAGAAAAAATATACTTTTAAGCAAACAAATAATCTATTTTGAGAAAATAACTATCATTATTACTTTTGTAACAAGACTAACCCATTTGCCATCAATAACCAATTAAAGTGACTCAAAAACTCACTGAAACATGCAATACAAATTACACTTTTTCCTTCATTTATTTGTATAGCTTATCTGTATACAGATGGCTCCCAATTCTACAATCTTCACTCACTTCTCTCTATGTCAATAATTGCCTATGTTGTATCGCCATTTGGATGTCTTCCAGGAGACCTTACCTTCAATATATAAAAGGGAAGGGGTCATATTCTCCTTCACCTCCAGATCTCTGCATAACAGCCCTCTGCTTCTCCACTCTTCTTCTAGCTAAGGACTACCTAGTCTTCATCCCTCATGTCACTTTCTCCAAAATAGCTCAAGATTCAGCCAATGTCTGCATAGAGATACCATATATTTATGTTCATCATAGAAAGTATCACATGGTATTGCATTTGTCACCTCCACAAGACTGTAAATTCCTTGAAGGTAGCATCTGTATTTTATTCAGTATTTTATCCTGTTCTTAATATTATGACTGACATATGATTAAACCTCAATAAATATCTGTTGAATAAAACCTACCAGCAAACAACTTCTTAAGGTGAGATTGGATCACTGATGGGTTAGTAGATTGTCCCAGTATTTCTAACAAATCATCATCACCAATAAAATAAAATCTTGGGAATGCTGACCGTTTTTCCTAATAGACAGAAAAATAAAAAGAATAGCCTTAATGTTTCAAATAAGGATATGAAATACTTCACAATTTATTATATAAAGATTGAAATACAACATGCCTCCAAAAATTCATTTAGTGATTTCTGGCATCGTTGAAGCTGATCAAGTATAGTTAGTAAAGAATTCCTGATTCCTGCATGACTAGTTAACGTTGTTACTCTATTGTCTCTCTTAATGTCAGTCATTATTGATCTGTAGAAGAAAAAAAATTACATTCACACTTGTTATGACAATTTTTTGGCTGAAAGAAAAAAAGAGAGTAAGAATGAAGGTTTTTTGGACTGTGTCAACCAAACTACTTAAGGTAACACGATTATAATACCAATGCAATATTGGATTCTAAAAAGTGTTAAATATTAATAGTATTTAATTGCCATTTGTAATGTATTAGCCATACTGCCATCTTCTTATTTCATTCATTCATTAAAGAAATATTTATTAAACTCTACCTCAGGGAGCTAGTGGCCTGATAACAAAGAAAAGACATTAAATAATTTCTCCCTAAAATACTTAATAAAATTACAGTAAATTCTAAGAATGAAAAACTAAGTATTTTGAATGTGGCTAATAAGGTAACTCTTAACCTAAGACTCCCTTGAATTGGTAATTTAAACTGAAAAACAAGTGGGGGAAAAATATTTTTTGAGTTGGAAGGAAAGAATTATTGGAAAAGATACAGGGACAGAACCTGGTATGTTTGAGAAACTAAATCAATAATACAAGAAAAAGCTAGATATATGGACAAGATGCAGATCAGGCAAGGTCCTATACTGAAGTGATTTATCATTACCCTTAGAGCAAATAGAAACGATGGTAAAGTTATGTACAGAATAAAAATGTGATGAAAATTGCATTTTTACATGATTACTCTGGTTATAGTATGGAACATTTACTAGAGAGGATGAGAGAAGGTCAAGAGATTATTAGTAATTTAAATAAGTACTAACTTATATTAGAATAGAACATATAGAGATATAAAAGGTTTTTGAGTCAAGATAAAGAAGCAGGTTAGAATCAACAAATTTTGGCAACTTGAATTTAAAAGAGGTGAGAGAGGAAAATGTCCAAGATACCCATTTTATTTCTTTCAATGGTACAACTTATTGAGTTAAGAATCAATAAAGTAAAAAGATTTGTAAAAAGAGACTAGGGGGTCCTGGATTGATTCCACAGGTTAACTGAGGATGTTTAGTCCATTTAGAGCTGACAAAAGAAACATGGGCTGCACATATACATTCAGGAGACCTCGGTAAAATAAGAGACTTGATGCTGAGTGTGAGGTAGCGATCCCTTACAGAGGAGACAGAGTAAGAAGAGAATCTATGTGACAATCTGGAGAATGCATACATACAAAGACGCAGAGGGCTGCGTCTATAAACTAGAAGGAACCAGAGACAAGTAGAAAACTGGAGAACCAAAAAACTAGGAAAGTGACTTTCTAATAAAAAATTTTAAAAACAGAAAAAAATGCTCTATTCCAATAAATAGTAGCTACCGATGATGTAAAACAAGGAATTTAAATATAAGCAAATGACCTAATGGGAGATATTTGCTTCTTAGAAAGGCCCGATAGAGAAAGCAGTTGTACACAAACAGGATACGACAAATGTAAAGCAGTATTAAGTCCCTCAAAATATGAATGAATAAAAAACTGTCATAAGTGTCCGTGTCTTTTATAGTTTCACTGACCGAAAATCTTCATCAACTCGGTTGAAGCGTGTCTGTTCTTTTGGCAATGCTCCACGGCCAAAAATGGGTTCCAAATACACCCACTTTCTTTGAATTTGGTTTAAATTCTGCAAATACTCATCTAATTCTGCAAGTTTCCTCTCCCAAATTGACACTTTATCTTCAAATCCTTTGTAATAAGGAGAGTCCTTTAAGGATTGCAGAAGGCATCTATTATCTCCAACCTGATTTACTATGTCTTTCCAGTCTTTGATCAGCTTCATGGTGCGACTTTGGCTGTCTTCATAATCGGTCAATGTAAACACCGCTCCAACTCCCCAGAGGTCAAGTTCACGTAACGCTTCTCGGATTGTGACTTCACCTTGGGCCCGACTATTTAAATCCTGTTTAGCACAAATTATACATATTACTTAAACACTGGCATATACATAAATTATAATAGTACTTTATTTTATAAGTAACTGTTTTTACCTGGCTTTCTACCATAAAGAAAAAGATATTAAGAAGATATATTTTACATATAATCCAAGAGAACTATTGACTAGTATTTCCCACTGTAAAAAGCATACACAAAGTTATTCTTTGTTGCTTCTGTAAAAAGAAAAGAAAAGCAGACTCAAAAGCATCGGTCATAAAACACAAAACTAATCTGGTTTGTTTAAAGCTTTAGATGACGAAAGGGCAGCAGAGCTTTTACTGTAAAGTCTGGCACATCAAAACTGACAAACAATCATTATAGGAGTTATCTCCTATAGCAGCAATGCTTTATAATATTTTGTTTGACAACAAAATCATTGGTATACATAAAGATTATTGACCAGCATGAAGATCTACATTTTTTAGATATGAAGTAACATAATATAATAATGACAGTCCTTATATTTTATATTAGGTGGCCAGAAAACTCATCCTAGGAAATATGCCATTTACGATGGAATTGTGACAAGTTCTACTTTCACCGGAGATTTTCTCTCCACCAGGTGAGGAAATTGGTTCTTGTTTAACCCCACCACCCTCCAGTCAGTTTCAACTCACAGCAGCCTTACAGGACAGAAGTAAACTGCACCACAGGGGTCTGGTTACTCCCTGCACATACGGGGCTAAATCTAAAGGTACTAAGATACAAAGTTCATAAATGCATGGAGTTAATCTAGAAAATTCTATGTTTAAACATGCATTGGCTATTAGTGGGTGGCTATAGAAAAATTAGAGTGCCTTAATAAAAAAATTGAATTAAAACAGTGGCTTCCCAGGAGAGCTACATTCAGTTTACCCAAAGAAAACAATTCAGGTTAGGGTGACTGTTTTGTTTTTGTTTCTGGTTTTGTTTTGCTTTTATTCCCAAGCAATAATCTTGGGAGTTTCCCAAAAGATAATCAGAAGGGTTTATTAGGAAGAAATTTTAAGATAATTGAAAACCACATTGGTGGAAAAAAAGTCATGGAAATTGCAACAAGGAACTTTCATTTCCATACAGTACACCTTTTTATTTCTAAAGCTTAAAAAATACATATTTAAAGGGTACACAGTTTGAGTCCCTTAAGAGATCAAAACTGCCATTTTGATGTGGTATAAATCAAAGATTGCAGAATTCCTCAGGTGAGGGTTACAGAGATGGAAACACTGCCTTCAAGATTGTACAAACCTAGATAGGCAAGACAAGAAATAATAGCTTCAAATTTTGAAATTTTAGTTTAATAAAGGTTTCTATGTTTTTGAAGCAATACAAACCATAGAAACCTCACCCTTGTGTATTGCTAACCTTAAATTTATAACATACGAGGTAATTTTAGAAGTATCTTATATACAATGTTTTGCTTTTGTTTAATGATAGCTGATTCACTACTTAAAGGAAGATATTACTTTTTCATACTTTCCCTTTTCTTAAAAGGAGCATCTTCTTTCATTGTTTCTATATTTCTGTACACCCAAACCTCACTGTAATCCAGTTGATTCCAACTCATAGCAACCTGGGGTGAAGTTTCTGAGGTTGTAGGTCTCTACAGAAGCAGATGGATGACCTGGTCTCTCTCCCACGGGGCGGCTGTAGGGTTTGAACCACTGACCTCGCACTTAATAGTTAACACTTCCCAACAGTGCTGCCAGAGCTCTCAGCAAATGCAGATGTACTCCTACTAAGACTACACCATGAAAGGACACCGTCCCTATTCTAATGGAAGAAGAAAACCTAATTTACTGTTTTATGAGATATATAAATAATGAAATATGGAACATAACTATACTAACCAAAAGGGATAGAGATATATATATATAATATGTATTTTAAAACTATATACCTACTTTAAGGTCTGAAGCTTTGGCTACAATTTTATCTGCTACTCTTAGCAAATCTCCAAACAGCAATTTCTCTAGACTAGTTCCCCTTGGAAGGCCAAGGAGGCGGAAAAGGTCAAGCCAGTGATCTGGAGAAAGATGCTCCCCTCTGACATACTTCAAGATAGGAAGTGCAGTCTGTTAAAAAAGAAGAAGAAAAGTATATACACACACACATATTTATAAATCTGCAGATGCTAATTATTATTTCATTAACTATAGAACTATTTCATTTTCTGTTTAACAACCTGGAAACCATATTGTTCATCAGAATTGTACAATTATTTTATTTATTTATAGATACATGCAGATTTTCCTTTGTAGTTTAATGTCTTAAAACAGGACATAAAGTATTTCTTTTTCATCATTCTAGAATATGGCCCATGTGGCTTCAGGTTTATAATCATGCTGGCTTATGACTTCAACCACAAATTTCTTAGTTTTAATTTTTTTTCATATTTAAAATGAAAATGAAACAGTTTCTATGGTTTCTATTTCCCATTTTTTCATGTAAGGTATAATATTGATTGAAAAATATTTAAACTAAAGTTATAGCCCAATTGGTAAATAAAAAGATGAATAAAGGTTGAGATAATTTTTAATTACCAGAATAAATACAATCTTACGTTATATTTGTCAATTTCTGATTGTAATTTCACAGTCATTACTGAATGTTCCTCAACCTTCCTCAATCGGTCATGCCAATCCATCAAAAATTCCTCAAATAGATATGTCTTAGTCCTATAAAACATCAGAGGTAAATTTTACAACTAGCATTCCAAAAATTAATCCTGAGTTATAATAATCTAAATATTGTTTAATCACCGGAAAGTAATCCAATCTTCATTAGCCATATCTTGAAATCCTTGGTAAAATTCTTCGTAAAGGGCCCAAATCTGTGCACAGCTCTCAATATCTTTAGAAACAGTATATGCCAGGGAGAAGTTGGGCTCTCCTAATCCAAAGTGATGGCAATCATCACTGGATAAACAAAAATTGAAATTTCATTAATTGTGTTTATTTAATGGTATAGGTGGACTGTGGGGGACTATATCTACTTTACATGACAATTTAACTCCTTAGGTCTGGTCTATACTAATTCATTCATGTTTTTTCCCCAAAAGGCTCAAAATTGACTGGATAGTATATAAATACATAGATATATATACATATGAGAATATGAGTGGGGCTACAATACATCTGTGGTAAAATTCCCTTCCCTTTGCATTCCATTTGTCCATGAAGTTTCTGAAGCCATTACCTATATATAAATACATACACGTGTCTATGTATTTATATATATATATATATATATATATATATATACACACACACACACACACACACACACATACAATAGGTACATGTCAAAATATCTGTGTGCACATACATGCACACACACGGATACTATATATACTTTACATATTTTGGTGGTGGTTGGCATGGAATCAAAGCTGACTCATGGCAACTCCACATGTGGGGACTGCTCCATACTTGGAAGTAGATCAGTAGGCCTGGGTTCTGAGACAATTGTGAATTGGTACCAACTATTAACCTTTTGGTTAGTAGTCAAATTCTTAACCATTTGTAACATCCTGAATGCATAACAGATATTCTGGGTTTTGTAAATGTATTAATCTGGTAAACAGAAAAGGCTAAATTTTAAAGTGTAAAATAGCTCTCATTGAGTAAGTTAAATGGCATTTAATAAATACAGTACTAAACCTCCACCTACAAAACCTAAAATGTTCACATTTATTACCTTTTAGTACAAGATAAACTGATGATACATTTTTTTATTTGAAATATATTTTGATTACATATTCATTTTATCGGGATCCCTGGTAATGGTTATGCATTGGGCTGCTAACACAGGTTGACAGTTCAAAACCACCAGCTGCTCCAAGGGAGAAAGACGAGGCTTTCTACTCCCATAAACAGTGACAGTCTCAGAAACTCACAGGGCAGACCCACCCTGTCTTATAGGGCTGACATCAGTTTGAATTGACTTGATGGCTGAGTTGGTTTTATTCATTTTATCACTAAGCTAATTTTTACTCCAAAGCTCTGAAAGTACATGGTTCATTAACTTTATATAAGCCATCTTAAAATAAGATGAGATGATAAAAAGCAAGTATCTAATTGCCCTTACTTAACCTTTTATTAAATTTAATTTTCTACTTTACTCTAAACCTGATAATTTCCCTTTCTTAATATCTTTATATAATTCATGCACAACTCATAAGAAAGTAGTGTGTACAAAAAAAGCTATTTTTAAGAACCACTGAAGTTTCAGAGTTAAGATAGTTTTAAAAAGTTTATTTGATAAGTATATAAATAATCTTTTTTTCAAAATGAGTATTCTCAGTTTTAAAGAAAAAAACATACACAAGCTTCTTTCTTACGACTTCAAGCTCATCAAACTCAATTTTCTTCTCTTTGATCGACTCTGCACTTCTGTCAAGAGTATTTTTCTGTCCTGTTTCAATAACATCATCACCAGGCTTTAGTTGATCCCAACGAGCTTTAAATTTGTCCAGTTCTTGATAGTAGACGTGAAGACGTGATTTTACATTTCCTTTCATCACTTCAATCTATAGGCCAATATAGTTTTAAAATGTTTAAGTAAGATAAAATCTCATTTTTCACTTTCACATTTTATAACTAATATTTTCTACCCAAAACTGAAAATATATTAATGCCAGTGTTTCAAAAAGTATTGATTCTAAATGTTGTCAATTCAAAGATACAATATAGACCTTAAATTTATAACAGTTAGCCCTCAAACATCATCATTAAATTTTTTTAAATCATTCACGTGGAGTGTTATCAAAACTTTAAAAAGTAGTGATGTGATTTTTAAAAACTTTTTAATTGATTAACTGCTAGTTTTTCCAGCTAAATATACACAATTGCATAAATGAGAAGGGCACTTCCTGGTCTCTCATGTAACCAGCAGGTTATACAAGTAAACCGTGGTCACTAGTAGTTTACGCCCTTCAAAGGTGGAACGGTGATCATGGTCCCTCTCTTCCTTCTCTCTACTAGTGGCAAGTAAATATGGCAGTAACCCACTGTGGGCAATGCATTAGGGATGGGTGGTACGGACGCAAGGAAGCTGACCACTAACAAAATTGCATCAGCTTGAAATCTAACTTCTTAGAAACTCCTTGATACTAATATTATTTTGCATCTCTACTACTTCATCCTAATCAATTTAGTAATTAAAGACAGAATACAAGCTTCAGAAATCAACCGAAGCTATGAAATCCATTAATACTGTTTACATTTCAAAGAGACTACTTTCTTCTTGCTCTGGTAGGAAGTGAAAAAAAACCATTGGAAATAATCAGTGGTACAAGAGTACTGAGGCTGGTCAGTTTCATCAGCAACATAACTTTTTTTCTAAATTACAGCTATACTGGAATAAAGCAGAAGACATTAAGGAAAACTACTATGTTTCTAATTTTTTAAAAATCATTAGAAGATTCTTACCTGATCTTTAATCATAAGTTGGTGACTTTCCATCATCAACTCAAATTTATCCCACTTAGCTTTCAGATTGCTAATTGTTTCTAAACCTCCACCTGCCACAGTTCGTAAAAGTCTGTTTTTATCCTCAGCTTCTTGAAATAGGGGCAAAATCTATGGGTTTAAAATATAGCACATGTGAAAAACATTTTTTATAAGATGTCCTAAGGTTTCATTTTTATTTCACAGCTTGCTTTTTTGAAGTGAAAAATTTTCTTTTAAACAATTTGTTAAATTCCTACAGGGAAAGTTTAGAATGCACATGCATTATTATATATAAGCTTAGCTCACCAGAGATTAAAACGATAAGAAGGAATCATATGAGATTATTAGTAAAATTATGATTTTATAAAGATAATATCATAGGTGTTCAAAATAATGTTCCTTTTATAACTCTTCATTTGAAAATGCTAAAAAGATTCCTAAAAGATTTACCATGAGACACTCTAACAGTATAGATTAACTAAACTGTCTTACAGAGAAGGGAATGTCCAATTCTATGGCTTTAAGTATCATGGATATAAAAATGACTTCCAAGTTTATATCTCTACTCTTTAACTTGTATTTTAAATTGCATGTTCCTTACCTCATGCCCAACTTCTACCTGACAGCTCAACCCCTACTATTCCAAAATCCGAAAACATCCCTTCCCTAGTCACCATCCCCCCTCAGTAAAGGGTACCATTACCGTCCCAGCATCTGTACCAAAACAACTAGGACACATCTCTCTCTTTTTTCCTAGCATCCTCCACTTAATGTAAGGGAAGCTTTCCTTAGTTCTAACTCTAATGTGCACAATCTATGTCCCCATGGCCTTAGTTTCCCTCGTCTCTCATCTGCACACTGCTATTCGGTCTTCCTCCAAGAGAAGAAATAATGCATTTGAATTAGGAGGTTGGCAAAGACTACTGAATATATCATTGACTGGCAGAAGAACAAGTAAATCTGTACTGGAAAACAACTAGCCAGAATACTCCTTAGAAGTGAAGATGGTGAGACTTCATCACATGTTATCATGTCACTGTTAATGGAGATCAGCAAAAAAGAGGAAGATTCTCAATGAAATGGAGTGATTGCAATATTGGGCTGAAACAGAAATGATAGCACAATGGTGCAGGATAAGCACTGTTTCCTTCCGTTGCATCTAGAGTAACAGAGTTAAGACCCACCTGATGGCAACTAAAACCAACAGTAGTCTGTTCTCCAGAGTGGTCAGTCAACGCTGCGCTACGTGAACCACAGTGCATCACTTCTCTGCGTAAAACCCTCCACATACTTGCCACTGTACTTAAAATCCAAATTTCTTATGACTGTTTAAAAAGCCCTCATATCTGGCCTTTGTCTACCTTTCCAATTTTACCTATCATTTTTTTCCTTGATAATTTAACCACTGCCCTTCTATCTGATCCTTCAACATATCAAGGCATTAAGGCCCTAACTATTTGTGCTTAAAGGAGCTGTCTCCAAATCTTAGAATGGTTACCTTCTATTACATGCCATCTCTCTGAGGTCTCCCGTGACCACTTAATGTCCACCAGTTGCGCATTTTTACACGTCTCCTTCCTTCTACTTCCATGCTTGCTCATGTGTGCACTCTCTCACACTCTCACACACACATGCATATTCCATGAGAACTGAGTTTGTCCACAGCTATAACCCAATGCCCAAAGAATTGCCTAGAATATATCAGTTGAACAAATAAATGCCTCTATGGTTTCACTGAGTATCACAGCAACAATGCCTTTCCTTCACTACTTAATTCCTTCTACTGGACAAGGAATTAGTAACTAAGTGTACTCACTGAGCCCCTAACATGAAAGGGTACAATTACTTCTACCATGAAAGTGCATTATTTCTATCACCTTAAGCCCTCTTTATAACTTTTATTCTATTATATAGAGAGCAGAGTTAAAAGTTTGTAAGCATAAATTATCCAGATATTCTTTTTTACTGTTATTAATCATTTTATTGGGGGGCTCTTACTAATCTTTCAAAAATCCATAATTCAATTTTATTAAGCACACTTGCACAAAATTGCCATCATCATTTCCAAAACATTTTCTTTCTACTTGAGCCCTTAGTATCAGCTCTTCTTTCTCCCCCTCCCTCTCCCACCCTCCAACCCTCATGAATCCTTGATCAATTAAATATTTTTATTGTTGGTTCTTATCTTACACCTAGAATAAGGTGACAAGACGTCCCGCTTTTGGCAGGACAGTCCCGATTTTTAACAATTTTTCCCGCATCCCGCGGCATTTTTTTAAAATCCCGATTTTTGGAAAGAATGCACGACAAGCTAGAGTATACATATGGTTTTCGGCTGCCATGTGGCTATTTCGCCAGGATAAAATGGTGCCCCGCTTTACCAATGTTAAAATCTGGCCACCTCAACCTAGAATATTCTTTTAACTTCAAATTATTTATTGCAGAGAAGTTTTTTTAAAACTTGAAAACTGTATTAGTAAGAAAACGAGCATGTATGCTGTGCTGAAGATTTTTATTTTTATACATCAGTAACGCACATGTTCTTTCCTTGAAGAGAACAAAGAAATGTTCTACAAGAATTTCATTGGATATGACTGAATTATGGAATGCAATGATATATGTATTAACTCCCAATTTTAAAAAAGCAGGCGAAAAAAGAATGTCATTGGGAAACTTTGTCCCATTCACCACCCTACAACCCTGACCTTGCTCCTGCAGACGTAGTTTTGTTCCCCAAACTCAGCAGCATTTCAATGGAACATAATTAAGCCCCTTAAGGATGCCAAATCCACTGTTGGTATAAATCAATTCTTGATATGGTATAAATAAATTCTTCGGGGAAAAGTTGACAGACAGAACTCTTGACTTCAGATGAAAGTAGAGGATAAACTTCACAAGGCTTCACATTTTTATATTTCTGTTTAATCATAGTTTCCTTGGCTTTGCAGGAATGCTTTTTCTACTTGCCCTAATTAATTCATTCCTAACTAATTTTCAACTTCTATTTTCACAACCTAAAATTATAACACTAAAGGATTACCACCATGTAGATTATTTAAATTAGTCTTATTTCACCATATCACAAACTAGACTGTAAATACTTCTGAAGACAATAATAAGCATTGTTGTTATTGTTTCATTACATCACCGCAATATTAATAATTCAATCATGAACTGAACAGTTGGGTCAGAGCATAGGGACTCTTTCTAATGTTGACATCATTTATTATTTCTAAGTAATCATATAATTGAAATATCTGCAACATAGTACAATAATAATAACATCTTTGTTTTAGTGATTCTCACCTTTGGCTTCCTTTCTTGTAGTTTACTATATTGCAAATTTGCATCACCTATTTCTTCCACAGACTGGGGCATAATTGTTAAGACTTCCATGGCCTCAGTAACAAATGTATCAATTTCATGTAAATTACCTGAATGGGGAACATTGAACGATAACAAATGTATTAAAAAATAACAAAATAATTACAACCCCAAAATGTTCAACCACATCATTTGCAAACTGAATCACACTGGAAGTAATCACCACATAAGCCAACCCCACTGCCAGTCAATGCCTACTCTCACTGAGCTGACAGAGCAGAGAATGGCTCCTTCAAATTTCCGAGGCCGCAGGCGCAGACAGCCTCATCCTGCCCCTGTGGAGGGGGCAGTGGGTTTGAGGCACCTAGCTTTTAGTTTGTACTCCAACTCACAGACAGCATCACCAGGGCTCCGTAACTACTATACTAAACATAGAAAAGCATATATTATCATTTGTTTTCTTGTAACAAAATCTTAAACTACGGAATGAGTTTGTTTCTTTTTATTGTAGATACTGTTTGTTTTTTTTAATCGGTTTATTAGGGGCTCATACAACTCTTACCACAATCCATACATACATCAATTGTGTAAAGCACATTTGGACATTCATTGCCCTCCTCATTCTCAAACCATTTGCTCTCCACACAAGCCCCTAGCATCAAGTCCTCTTTTTCCCCTCCCTCCCCGTTTCCCCCTCCCTCATGACCCCTTGATAATTTATAAATTATTATTTTGTCATATCTTGCCCTGTCCGACATCTCCCTTCACCCACTTTTTGTTGTTTACCCAGGTAGGAGGTCACATGTAGATCCTTGTAATCGGTTCCTCCTTTCCAACCCACCCTCCCAGTATCGCCACTCACACCACTGGTCCTGAAGGGATCATCCGGCCTGGATTCCCTGTGTTTCCAGTTCCTATCTGTACCAGTGTGCATCCTCTGGTCTAGCCAGATTTGTAAGGTAGAACTGGGATCATGATAGTGGGGGGCGGAGGAAGCATTTAGGAACTAGAGGAAAGTTGTATGTTTCATCATTGCTACATCGCACCCTGACTGGCTCGTCTCCTCCCCGAGACCCCTCTGCAAGGGGATGTCCAGTGGCCTACTAATAGGCTTTGGGTCTCCACTCCGCACTCCCCGGCTCATTCACTATGACATGATTTCTTGTTCTGATGATGCCTGATACATGATCCCTTCAACACTTCGTGACAGCACAGGCTGGTGTGCTTCTTCCATGTGGGCTTTTTTGCTTCTGAGAATGAGTTTTTAAAGAGTTTTTACCTACCAAAGCTTACTAGGTAAACTTTGCAATTAAACATTTTAAAGAAATCAAAAATAACTTGTTAAAGTAAATTTTATTAAAATTCAAGAGTACTTTCCTTAGTTTTTAATAAACTAAAAAGAAATTCCGTTTATGTGCTAAAAAAAGGAACAGAGTGGAATTTTAGAAAATGACATTATCCTTCAATGAAATAAGAGGAAATGCATAATATCGGAATTATCTACCTTTCTCGGTAACAGAGTCTCAAGTGAAATTAGCACAGACTGCAAATAAAAAAGATGCCTTCAATTTTTAGATCTCTCAGAGATGAACACAGAATTTCTTATCTTGTTGAAATTCTCACTTTAAGCAAATTTTAAATCACAACACTTACAAGTTCAGTTTGACTTTTTTTAATCATCATTAAGGTTTCTATTCTAAAAGGATCAAAGCACATGTAACCAGCTTATAAAATTAGGGAAAAATAAAAGAAAAAAATGTCTTTACCCTGGATGGATTTTTTCAAAGAAACAACAAGCAGGTCAAATAACTTCTGGATAAGATCATCAATCACAGTCTTCACGGGATTGCAATTGATATTTAAACAATCCACCTTGACAACACTGAAAAATGGCAATGGGCAGATTTTAAGGTTTAAAAAAAAACGAATTAAAGAAAAAATGGTTTAGTATAACATTAGAGAGATTTCAAGTAAGACAATTTGTAATCAGTCAAAATTATTATTGTGTTTTTTAAGCACATGTACGTTCATTAAGCAAAATGGTTTTACGTGTACTATTCTGAAGTTTTTCACTGAACAATTCTTTCCTAATATTACAATTTTGAATGCTGCAGTATACAAGTACCCTAAATCATTTGGCCTACTACCACTTTTCAGAAAAAAAACTACTTAGTGGCACCTGGTAATTAAGAACTTTTATACTCTAGCCTGCAGTTCAGGACAAAGTGCAGGTATTTGCTTTTGCAGACCCCTGGATCACTCCAGCGCTCCTCAAGGGGGCAGTATCATGCACTCTAGGAAACACTCGTGAATCATTTTTTAAGGCACTATGTCATATAGTACTTAGGCATGAACATGAATACATCTAAATATTTACATGTGTTACTTGTCACAACATATAATTTACTTATCTAAATACTTATGAAGTAAGCTTTATGCTGGAGCCTAAACATAAACAATAACAATAAAGTTGGGGCGGGGGGTGAAAAAGTAAATATAGATCATTAAAGTAATCAAATAATTATCTCATTTGTTCTTATTTTTGCTCTTATTGCTAGGTTCAGTTCATAGCACCCTACGTAAGACAGAACAAAACACTGCCCAGGCCTGTGTCACCTACACGAGTGTTACATTTCAGCCTAGCGCTGGGGCCGGTTTTCCTTTTTCACTGTCCTTCTGTTTGACTGAGCATGAAGTCCTTTTCCGTGGTCTGGTCTCTCCTGATGCTCAAAGCATGTGAGACGATGTCTCCCCATCTTAACGTTTAAGGAACATGCCAGCTGTACTTCTTCCAAGATAACATGTTTGTTATTTGGTAGTCCATGGTACTTCCAACATCCTTCGACAGCACCACAATCCACATACATCAATTCTTCTTCAGCCTTCTACCTTCAATGTCTCACTTTATTTTTTTCTAATCATTTTATTGGGGGCTCGTACAACTCATCACTTTAACATGCACACGAGGCCAATGAAAAATGCCATGGCTTGGGTCAGGCACACCTTACTTCTCAGTGACATCCTTGCTCTTCACTACTTTAAAGTGAGCAGCAGATTTATCAAAGGCAAGAAACCATTTTATTTCTTGGCTGTTACTTCCATCAGCATTGACTGTGGATCCAAGCAAGCTGAAATCCTTGACAACGTCCATCTATTTGTCACGATGTAACTTATCAGTCTACTTAGTTGGTCTTTTACCCTATTGGCAGGGTAGAACTTCCCCAGTGAGTTTCTGAGACTGTGACTCTTATGGGAATAGAAAGCCCTGGCTTTCTCCCTCAGAGTAGCTGGTGGTTTCAAACTATGGACCTTTGCAGTTTACTTTGCTGAAAATGGAACAATCAAGAGGAATGGCATTGCGTTCACTGTCAAAAGGACATTTCAAGATCTATTTTTAAATACAACTCTGTCTGTGATAGGATAATATAGATCTGCATTCAAGGGAATCCAATCAATAAAACTATTTTCAAATTTATGTGAAACTCAAAAGTTAGTGATGAAGAAACTTGAGTCCTACCAACAACTACAACTGGAAATTGATCAAACATGCAATCCAGATGCATTGATAATTATTGGCAATTGGAATGCAAAAACTGGAAACAAAAAGTAAGGAATAGTTGTTAGAAAATATGGCCTGAGAAAGAGAAACAAAACCAGAGATCACATGATAGAATTTTGCAAGACCAATGACTTCTTCGTTGCAAATACTTTTCAACAACACAAACAGTAACTATATGCATGGACCTATCCAGGTGGAATTCCCAGAAATCCAATTGACTAAATATCTGGGAAGAGATGATAGAGAAGCAGTTTAAAACCAGGGCAAAGGTTGAATGTGGAATAGACTATCAATTGCTCATATGTAAGTTCAAGTTGAAGAGGAAGAAAATTAAAACAAGTCGATGAGTCCCAAAATATGACCTTGATTCTCTAACAACTGAATTTTAAGAATATCTCAAGAAGAGACTTGACTCATTGAATATTAATGATAAAAGACCTGATGAGCTCAGAGATGATGTCAAGAACATCATACAAGAAGGCAAAATGTCATTAAAAAGACAGGAAATAGTTTTAAAAAAATCAGCATGGATGTCAGAAAAGACTCTGAAACGTGCCCTTGATCAGAGCATAGCTAAGGCAAATGGAAGAAATGATGACATCAAAGAGCTGAAAAGAAAGTTTCAAAGAGAATCTCCAGAAGACAAAGTCAAGAATTACAATGAAATCTACAAAGACCTAGAATTAGAAAATCAAAAAGGAGAACACACTCAAGATATCTTAAACTGAAAGAACTGAAAAGAAATTCAAGCCTTGGTTACAATCTTGAAACATCCTATGGGCAGGACACGTCCAAAGCTGAGAGGAAAAGACAGTGTGACCATACCAAAAAGAACTAGTTGATATTCAACCATTAAAGAGATTGAAAGGTAAGCAAGAACCAACAACACTAAGGAAGAAGTAAAAGTTGTACTAAAAGCCTTAGCCAAAAACAGGAATTGATGGCGCTATCAATTGAAATGTTTCAAGAAGCTGAGGAAGCCCTGGAAACACTCACTCTCCTTGCCAGGAAATCAGAAGATGGCTACTTGTCCAACTAACGAGAAGAGCTCTGTATTTGTGACCATTCCAGAAAAAGGTGACCCAAGAGAATGCTAAAATTATAGAATAGTGTCATTGACGTCACATGCAAATAAAATCTTGTTTAAGATCATCCAACATGATTGCAGCACTACATTGACAGGGAGCTGTCAGAGGTTCAAGCCAGATTCAGAAGTCATGGGACAATGACATCACTGCTGATGCCAGATAGATCATGGCCAACAGCAAAGAATCCTAGAAAGATTTTTACTTGTGTTTCATATGCTAAGACATTCAAGTGTGTGGATCATAACAAACTATTGATAGCGTGAGAAGAATAATAAACTCAGAAAACTGTATTGTGCTTATGTGGAACCGTGAGAATATAACAAGGGCATACTACATAGTTTAAAATCAGGCGAAGTGTAAGACAGGGTTGTATCCTCACCATTCTTATTCAACCTATATGCTCAGCAAGTAGTCAGAGAAGCTAGATTACATAAAGAAAAAATGTGGCATCAGGATTGGAGGACGGCTGATTAACAACCTGCATTACTAAGGTGACACAACCTTGCATGCTGAAGTGAGAAGGACTTGAAGTATTTGCTCATGAAGAGCAAAGAAAGCAGCCTTCCCAATTCTATGTGAAGAAAACCCAAATCCTCATAACCGTATCAGCAGGTAACATCATGATAATGGTGAAAAGACTGAAGCTGTCAAGGATTTTGCCTTGCTTAGATCCAAAATCAATACTCATGGCAGCAGCAGTCAAGAGATCAAAATATTTCTTGTATTAAGTAAATCTACCGCATAAGATCTCTTTGGAGTAATGAAAAGCCAGAATATTACTTTGAGGACAAAGGTGCACCTGATCCAAGCCATTATATTTTCAACGGCCTCACCTGCAAGTGAAAATTGGAGACGGAATAAGGAAAACTGAAGTAGAATTTATGCATTTGAACTGTGGTGCTGGCAAAGAAAATCAAAAGTACCATGGACTTCCAAAAGGACAATCAAAATCTGTCTTGGAAGAAGTAAGGCTGCTCCTTACAGGCAAAGACGGAGAGACTGCTTCTCCCGCATGTGGGCATGTTGTCGGGAGAGAACAGTCCCTGCAGGGCATCACGCATGGTAACGCAGAGGAGCAGCGGAAAAGAGGAAGACCTTCTTCAGCAAAATGGATTGACAGAGTGCCGGCCTCGATGGGCTCGAACATAAGAACTGTGAGGATGGCGCAGGACCACAGGGTTCCTAGGAGTCCACATGGACCCCACAGCACCTGACAACAGCAAGAGCAGTGTGTTCTCTCGTATCACTGTCCGATCCTCACACCACATCCTCACATCCACCTGTCCATTCGACTGCTGTGCTTGCCAGCCAGCAAAGGCCCTAGAAGATACTTCTTTTATTCTCTGCATTGCCCAGAAGGGTTATAGTGAAGTTCCACAGGAGGGAAAAAGCTGATTTCAGTTTCAGACACTAAATAAGGACTACCTTTACGATCTATTATATATCTATCAAAAAACTATTATGATGCCTACATATACATTAAAATCCAATACCTTGGAAGTCGTTCCACTTCTTTCCCTTTTATTTTCAGAGCTTTAAAATTCTTTTCCCAATCATGTACAGTGAAGAGATGTTTTTCCACCAAGGCTTCCATATCAACTTGCCCAATTACAATCCATTCCTATTTAAAGAATAAAAATATATTATTTTTTAAAAACTTCAAAAGTTCACATTTTAAAGTTCACGATTCAATTAAGATCAACAAAAATGGGCAAATGTGAGATATTTGATTATTTCTCAATTTAAATATGTAATTATATGCACTACTTCATAGCTTAAAGACAGAACAACAACAGAGTTTAATATAGTAAATGCAGTGGCCATAAAACATTTTTAAGGAGATAGGCAAAAACCCTTTATTAAGACTCTTCTCAAATTGAATGCGCATAAAGAACAAAGACAGGGTCACATCTGTAAATCCCTGGGCCACTACATGCTGTAAATCTGAAAGCATCCAGCTTAATTCGATTCATTCTAAAATGTTTAATTCAAAAGCAATGCCAAAAGTACTGATGGCATAGTGGGTTATGCACTGGGCTGCTCACTATCAGGGTCAGCAGTTCAAAACCACCACCTGCTCTGCAGGAGAAGGATGAGAGTTTCTTCTCCCTTACAAAGTTACAGTCTCAGAAACCCACGGGCCAGTTCTTCTCGTCCTGACGGGGTCTCTCTGAGCAGGAATCGACTCTATAGCCACGAGTACAGGAAAAGAGCAAGCAAAGGCACTTACAGAACAGGACGTATCAGGCACGTGTTTCAGAATTGACAGAAATTAAACAAATGAACTTCACACTGGGAGCTAGTTGGAATAAAGCATTTAACAGAAGAAAACTGTTAACTCATCCCAAGTCCGTTATATGTGATGGCTTCCCCACAGACTGCTTTGGAATCAAATCTCTATACAGACAATATGTTTTCCTAAAAACAATTAAGGTTGACCCAACAGAACCATAGGTTCCAAACTGATGCAATTAAAAGACAAAACTAGTTTCTCAACTTTCTTAAGGTTGTCAAAGACTAAAAATATTTCGTTTTATTTCTCATCAATGGCATAAATCTAGGCTATACGAAAATCTTCAACTCTGGTTTGCCATAATTTTTATTTTATACCATATTAAAAAAAACTATTGATCTGCATAAAGTCAATTCAATCCCTCAGTGAAATATTAAAACAGGGCTGAAATTTTCTGTACCTTATGTTGGTGTAAAACAGCTGACAACCTTCTGAAAAGATCTTCTGCCTTGCTGAAAATAGTCAGAAATCCATTTGCATTTCTATCAATCATAATCGAAAAAATAGACTCATCTCCTGCTTCACCTACTCCCTTAAATTGATTTGGAATGCTGATGAATCTCTTCATTTCTCTATAATACTTAGCCCGGATTTCTTCAAAAGGGGGCCTGAACTGCAACCGTCCCTGTCTGAAAGTGAATAAATAGCTTTAACTACAAAGTATTAGAACAGTATAGATTGAAAATTAAATTAGGGTTGTAAAAGGCTTACTTGTAAATTAAGTCTACATTTATTTCTGGCAGATGCTCATTAAGGGCTTCCAAGCCCATCTGATATTGATGCTCGAGAGCTTTGTACAACTGATGATTCCAGTGCTGCTTCCACGCGTGCATGTCACTTGCTTGGAATCCCTATGTGTTACATTCACATTTTTAATTTAAAAGTTAGTTGGTAGAATGGAGTTTTCATTTAATGCATTCATGTCACAAACCATGGTTGCAAGCAAAAACACTCTTTAAATAAACATCTTAAACAGGAAACGCTTTACCTGTCACTTTTAGTACATGTTAATATCAAATCAAACGCGAAAATCTCTCTCTAGGTAAAGAACTTTCTAACATAAACACAAGTTTATAACTAACCCACAGAAAGATCAGTAGAATTGTTAAATCAGGTTAATGTATCACTGATTTTTATATTTGGACAGATTAAACAAAAAAAAAAAGGCAGGAATGACAACAATAATTTACTTTGTGAGCCTTGAGTCTTTTTCAAAAGTTCTTCGCATGTTTAGCTATTCTTCTTTACCATGTCATAAACAATCCATTCCAAACTTTAAAATTTTTTTAAAGTAAAAGGATAAAATTCAAAGAATAGGTTTACATACTCGCTGGCTTCCAATCCTAAATAGTCAATTCCAATATTTAACTTTTGTTGATTCTTAAACTTCTAAGAAGTTAAAAATGTATGTACGTAAGACACCTAACTTAAACAGTCAACTAAGATTCCCTTATCACCTTCTATGTAGCAAGTACAGGGCTGGCCACTTTAGCACACATCACCTCTTGTAACAAATTGTCTCTTATAACTAAAATTTAGTCAGCTCCCTCAGTAAGAAATTCTATCTAGCATTATTTCAATTGTTGTTCGTCTTCCTAAATTTAATTTTGTGCAATGACACAAGATTCTAAAATAATACTAACAATCGATAGATATTTAAGTATCTAATCAGAAAACGTAGAAACTCTAAACCGAGAGATGTGGCATCCCAAAAATGAAACAGAAGCTTATTTCCATTTTTTTTCAGGAAAAAATGTATTATGAATTTATGATCTTTCTATATAAATTAGTCAAAGAATTCTAAATTTATGAAAAATGTTGGTGATAAAGATTTAAAGATCACCTTTATGAACTTCTCATCAATTAATATATTCACATTCTGAAAAGTTGACACTTCAGATTACAAATATAAAAGAAAATATACTCCACCTGTGCTTCTACACTTGCCAAACCAGTTCTCAACTCTTGCAGTCCATCTTTCCAACGCTGCTGCTGCCGAAGCAGATCAATATTCATAAGAACTACCACCTATTAAAAATAGAACATAGCAGTGCCAATTATAGCTTAAAAAAGTTACTTGGCAACAGAGAAACCAAAAACAGTTACTTGGTAACAGATAAACCTGATAGACATTACCTTAACCAAGTAAGTAATCAGGGTTAAGTTAACCTATAATAAAACATTTATATCACATGTATGCTTGATATGATACATTGGGAAACACAAAATATCACTTCTGATATATTCCTGCCAAGTGAACAACCCAATCTTCTAATGGAAAAACAACACCTAGGTCCCAATGGAAAAATATCCAACAAAATAATTAACCAATGCTCATCAAAATATCAAGCTCATGTACGACAGGGAAAAACTTAGAGGAGGAAGGAGGAGACCACCAAGGCACAAATAAATACAAAGTGGGATTCTAGACCGAGTCCTGAGGAAGAAAAAGGACATTGGTGAAAAACGCCTATTTACTGCTTTCGATCCCTCTTTGATGCTGTGTGAGCTGTAAATATGATGGGTGCTGAGAGAAGGGCCTTATGTGAACTCTCCAAACAACTTTTGGAGCTTTTCTGTAAGTCCCATTATTTCAAAAAGAAGACTTTAAAATTATACCAATTACTTTAAAAATAAGATGATATATAGCTTATTCAACTTTTTATATAACATATACCTTTTCACAAAATGTAGTGTGCCATTTTCTCAGCTTCCTGTTTTCAGTGGCAAGTCTTTCGGCAGCACTTTGCAGCTTTTGGATGTAGCCTTCTAATTCTTTAGGATTATCCCATGTAATCTGCGACTTTCCCCCACTTCCTGCTTTGGAATTCTATAAGGTACAACAAATGGCATTGAGTATTTTTTAAGTATTTCTTTTTTCCAAGTCCAATGAGTCCTAACATTGACCTGTAATTTAAAAAGCACATAGTAAGTTTTCCATGTTATAGATGATAAGAAACTCTGACCAAGTTGAAGTCAACCCATCGCTTATACATCCTTCTCTTACAACTAAGAAATTCTGGATATAACATAACAAGAAAACATGAGAAGGTTCTAAAGCAGTGGTTCTCAACCTGTGAGTCGTAACCCCTTTGGGAGTCGAGCAACCCTTTCACAGGAGTCGCTTAAGACCTTGGGAAAACACATTATCTCCAATGGTCTTAGGAACCAAGACACCCACCGCTCCTTTATCCATCTCCACGTGGGTCTGCCCACAAGCAGATATGCTGATCTGGTGAGAAAGAAGCTATCTCAATCTTCCCACTGATGTTGGCTTTTTCCACATACTGTCGGAAAATGTAGCAATGTAGCTTCCTGTTACATTAAGACTGTTACCCATGCTACACCATGCTTCAAGACAAAATTTCATTTATTTGTAATTAGAAAAAAATATTTCACAATGTATAATCACATATTGCTTTTGTGATTAATCACTATGCTTTAATTATGTTCAATTTGTAATAATGAAAATACATCCTACATATCAGATATTTACATTATGATTCACAACAGTAGCAAAGGGACAGTTATAACAACAAAATTAATTTTATAACAACAAAAATAATGTTATGGTGGGGGTCGCCACCCCATGAGGAACTGCATTAAAGGTCACGGCACGAGAAAGGTGGAAAGCCACGGTCTAACGGTATGAAACAAAAGGCAGACAGCCTAGAAACCTCGAGATGCAGGCATGACGCCGTGGATGTCCCTGCTGCTCAAAGACATCTAGGAGGAGACCTCAGGAAAATCTCCCACCTAAAAGCACAGACAAAAAAGAACTCCAGATGGTGCCGGATTAAGAAAGCAGTGGCTAAAAAAAAAAAGCAGCACTTACTCTTCTCTTGCTAATCATCCACAGAAATATTGCCCTCTTGCAGCTTCAACAGGACTAAAGATAGATTTGGTATCTCTCACCCCCAAGCTAGTAAACACCTAGGGGTGGTGGTGTTCCATTTTCCCTACCAGAATAATGTTAGAAGACTGATCTTCCACCGCTTGTCCATCAAAAGAAGGTACAAAAATCCTCCTGCCAATAAAATGTCAACATTTAAAGGATGAACTCAGCTCCACTCCTACCCTACAGCAAGAAAGCAATGCAAATCAGTCCTCCACTCCCTCCTTGGTTTCACAGAAGACCCACGGAAACAGCGTCTACCTTACTTGAAGGCAGCAAAGCAGTGCAAGTCAATGACTTAATTTCAAGGGAAGGTGTCAGTGAGGAAAAAGCAGAAGTTGAACTTACATCCCACTTGAATGCAATGAGGCACTGGAGGCCAATAATCCACTTAAGTCAAGACTATATGTACGAGGCCCAGCATATAGTATAAGTATCAACTGAACATATATATACCTGGCCTTCAACAGAGAAACTTCTTGCTCAAATAAGATGAAATAGAATCTGGAATCTCATAACATAACATTAAATATGTTCAAGATGCATTCAAAAATCATTTATTATACCAAAAACTAAGAAAATCAAAACATGAATGAGAAAAGATAATTAAAAGGCACTAATATAAATAGAAATCAAATATGAAACTTATATGGTAAAAATGCTAAATCGGTCACCATAAAGTCAGGGTGCAGTGTAGCAATGATGATGCATACAATTTTCCTCTAGTTCCTGAATGCTTCCTCCCTACCACTATCATGATCCCAATTCTACCTTACAAATCCAGCTGGACCAGAGAATGCACACTGGTACAGATAGGAACTGGAAACATAGGGAATCCAGGGCAGATGAACCCCCTCAGGATCAGTGGTGAGAGTGGTGATACCAGGAGGGTGGAGGGAAGGTGAGGGAGAAAGGGAGAACCAATAACAAGGATCTACATTTAATCTCCTCCCTGGGAGACGGACAGCGGAGAAGTAGGTGAAGGGAGACGTCGGATGGTGTAAGATATGACAAAATAATAATTTTTAAATTATCAAGGGTTCATAGGGAAGGGGGAACGGGGAGGAAGGGAATAAAATGAGGAGCTGATACCAAGGGCTCAAGTAGAAAGCAAATGTCTTGAGAATGATGATGGCAACAAATGTACAAATGTGCTTGACACAATGGATGGAAGTATGGATTGTGATAAGAGTTGTACAAGCCCTCAGTAAATTGATTTTTTTTAGAAAAGTAAAGGGCAAAAAAAAAAAGAAATACTATGGAAATAATAAACACAAAAGTATGCAAAAAGAATACCCCTTGAGGATTCACTGGGCCTGGAAAATTCATTGTGTCGAGGGACACCAAGGAAAAGTGGCATAACAGCCCCCAAAGGCAGTGTTGGACATGCTACTTTGGTGAGTAACAAGCTGGGTCTTTAAGACTCATGAATAACAGTCTTCAAAACTGTGACTAGCCATCTCAAGTGCAGCTACTGTTCTCTCCAAGGCTGGATCCAACCATTGCGATGAAATGAAAGATTACGGAAACAACTAGTCTAAGGAACAAATATCAATCTACAGAACCCTGAGATCAAAAAAGCGAGATGGCGACTGGCCACTACTACGAACTGCTCTGACAAGAATCCAATTAGAAGGTCCTAGATACAGTGGGAGAACAACGTGAACAGAACCCAAAACCTTAAAAGAGACCAGGGTTTATTGGTCAGAATGAAACTGGTGGGACTCCAAAGACTATGGCCCTTTCAAGTCTGAAACTGACCTCCTCACATGTATACATAATCAACCATTTGAGATTAAAAGGGCAGCATTTACCCCAGGACAACGTTCAAAGTGTTAGGAAAGAAGGAAAGTGGAATGAACAATGGTAAATTGAGGGGACTGTGGTAACAGACTGAAAATTAACGAGCATCAAGGACCATGAAAAAACCACTAACAAACCACTTCTGGCATTCCAGAAGGAAGAAAAGAGAATGAGATTGAAACTGCATCCAAATAAGTAAAACTGAAAACTCAATATACTGAGTGGCCATAGGATTATAAAGAACTTCAGTGCTATCTGTGTTAGATTTTTATCCTCTCCTAGGTCTCCTGAGCCACTCTCAGGTAAGTGCTAGGCTTCCAACCACAAGCACACAGTTCAAACCTACCAGCCACTCCTCAGGAGAAAGTCAAGGTTATCTGCGCCCATCAAGCTTCAGATACCCTTTATAGTTATCAAAATGACTTACACCTCTTGTAATTTATGTTAAATATAGATATTGACTGACTTCTTTTGACTCAATTTTTCAAAATAAGGTTACTCTTTAGAAATATCAGATATTTTAGCATATTTATTAGCCAGAAAAGGCTTCCATAGACCTTCAATCAAACATCTATTATGTAAAAGAGAAAAATAAGTTTACCCATAGTAAAGTATGATCCTATTTTCAAAACACATACATGTAAATGGAGCCCTGGGGACTTAGTGGACTACACTTTGGGCTGCTAACTGTAAGGTCAGCAGTTCAAAACCACCAGCCATGGGGAAAAAAAGAGGCTTTCTATTCCTATAAAGATTTACAGTCTTGGAAACCCTCACAGGTAGTTAAACTCTCCGAAATAGTCGCTATGAGTCAGAATTGAATCTATGGCAGTGAGTTTGGGATTTTGTGGAAATATACAAAGGAAAAAATTGAAAGAATATACACAAGAATGTCAAGATTGACCATTTCTTGGTAGTATGATTTTAACGCATTAATTTCTCTTTATCTGTATTTTTTAAACTCACCATTCCAAACTTGTATTAAGCGTTAACAATAAGAAAAAAGTTTTTAATAACATCTATGCTGCCAAGAGCAAGCCATAGTAACTAAATGGGTTATACATTGAGCTTTATTCTGACTCACAGTAACTGTATAGGACAGTGCAGAACTGCCCCTGTAGTTTTCTAAGACCGCAACTCTTTATGGGAGTAGAAAGCCTCATCTTTCTTCCACAGAATGGCTGGTGGTTTCGATCTGCTTACTTTGTGGTTAGCAGCCCAACTCATTCCCCCTCACCACTAGGACTCCGTGGAAAACTAGACGGTCAGAAAAACTGAGGAAGACTCTCAGCAAACTGGACTGCAAGCATAGTCTCAAAGAGCAAGAACTGAGGGTGGCACAGGTAGTATATAATACAGTTTACTTGGTTGTATGCATGGTCACTGATTCTAAACTGATAAAGGCACCTAACCACACCAACCTAATAAGAATTATATAACAGCAAAAATATGTAAGGCTAAGAACTAGTGTGCAGGAAGGACACTGGGCCTCCACTCAAGTACTCCCTCAACGCAATACTTTCTTCTTTAAATTGGCATTCTATGATGCTCACCTTCCCTAC